TCAGAGTTTTTGGGAATAAAAGTGCTGTGCGCTTTTGGTACTTTGATTGTTGCAGCCTTTCTTCGTCTCTGGTTCAACCCGGAATTTTTCTATTTCGTTTAATTCTTAGCTGGCTTTATTTATAGAAATTCGTGTGGATCCTTTTTTCAGCATATCCAAGTCGCTCGTTTCAGGAGCTACATTTTGCAGGGACATAAGCGGGTACGGGGTGGTTTCTTGGAGGGGGGAGGGAGGCGACGTGGGATGTCTTCTTCACTTTTAGCATTATGACTTGCTCCGCTGAGAAGGTGAAAGGGCGGAAGGCCCAACGCCCCCCCCCTCCCCCTCCGGCCCCGTGGATCCTCCAATAATGTACAGGAATCACTTTTTGTTGGTTATCGTAGCTTGTGTTTTTGCGTGATCGCCAAAACAAATTTTTCATGATGGGCTTGCAGGAACTCGATGTTACGGAGAATCTTTTCATTCGCCTTTATGCATGCCTGATGACTCTGGACCCGTACAATTATGAGGTGAGCAATTATAATTGCTTGCATATTATCATTTGCTTTTATTTGCTTCTGGTCTAAAAGAATTGATGGTAATAATAATGATAATAAAAGGACTGATGGTAATAATAATGATGATAAAAGAACTGATGGTAATAATAATAATGATGATAAAAGAACTGATGATGATAATAATGATGATAAAAAAAGTTATGGTAATACTAATGATAATAAAAGAATTGGTGGCAATAATAATGATGATAAAAGAACTGGTGGTGATAATGATGATGATGAAAGGAATGATGATAATAATAATGATGATAAAGTAGCTACTGATGCGTCAGCAACTACCCCTGAATATTGATAAAGGAACCGATGAAAATTTAGCGACCAGTATTTTCCTTTTCCAAACCGTTTATTTTGTTTTTCAGAGAAAGGCGCCTTAGAAAAAAGTAGTGTTTTCATCTATAACCAACTGCTTTTTATGCGTTTTTTGCAGTAATGCAATGCAAAAAACGCATATTGACGAGAGGTTGTCTGTG